TCCCGTTTGACTTCGTTCAAGCTCTCGCCTACTATCATATTCTCCGATTTGTCGGCTTCTTCATTGATTTCCATCACTTTTGTGTTGTTGGAGTCCTCAATGATTTTCTTGACTTCGAATGCCTCTTTCTTGACGCCATGTATCTCTCCGTTTGCATTCGCAGCACTTTTTGGTACTTCTTTTATCATGAGGTCGGGATCTTCGACCGGTTCCTCTTTCTCTTCGTTCACGTACTCTATTTCCTTCTTGAACATAACCTCATACGTATCTTCAAGCTTTACCACATCATCAACTATGGACTTTGATTCCCCGTCATCCTCGATGATTTCTCGTTGGTTGGGACATTCTCGTGCCAAATGATCTTGGTCCCTACACTTAGAACAAATAACCTCACGTTTATGATTAATATATGAGGAAAACGTGTCGTTACCTAGGGCGGTGACCGCCTTTGAAGATACGGTTGATTCCTCCTTGTATCGAGCATCACGATTCTTTGCCTTGTCTTTGTCTTCGATTTTGACAAAGCTATCGCTTAGAGGTTTTTGTGCTTGTGTGTGCCTCCTTGTCGGCGCTTTGTTCATGTGTTGCTCTATTTTAATCGCCGAATGCACGAGATCATGTAAGTCATGATAGACCTTTTGTTCTACCTTTCTTGCTATTTGATCTTGCAAACCATCGAGAAAGTGTGCCATGAGAGCTTCTTGGTCGTCGTCGATTTTCAAGTAAATGAGAAGCTGTTCAAATTCTTCGAAGTATCCCTTAACTGTCTTGTCTTCCTGCATGATGTTATCAAATCTATATTGCAATTCACGAAGACAATGTCGAGGGACATACCTTTTTCGCATGAGAATTTTCATCTCCTTCCAAGTGGAAACCGGATCATAATGTGCACGACGTCGATTGCTTTCTTCTCGTTCCCACCATGTGAGAGCATCCTTCGCGAGTTGGGACGCTGCGTATTGAATCTTCCTTCAGTTCGACAAGGAATAGTATTCAAAAATGGCATCCATTTGGCGCTCCCACTCGAGATATTCCTCGGGATATTTCTTTCCAGTAAACACGAAAGGTTTGAACTTTGGATCAGCCCTCTCATCACGAGTTGGTCGACAATATTCTCGGTCATATGGATCCTTGAATCGGCCATCATAGAGGGGTTCATGGTGAGGCCTCTTTAGATTTTTAGGCATGGTTCTCTTCCCCTCACTTTGTTTGTTTAGCTCCCTAGCAGATTCCAGGGGTTCGCTCACCTCCTCAAGTCGTGTGAGACGATCTTGAATCTGCTGGATCATCCTATAAACCGAACTGTCACTGGATACGTTTGCCATCGATACTGAGAAAGCAAGCCACGGTATATGCAAGTAACAAAACGTGCAGCACTAAGTCCGAACAAATATAGCAGAAACGTTCAACGTGCAACAATGTCATGTACAAGCTAAAACATGCACTTCACGCAACAAGTAACGTTTTCGTTCCTAAACAGTTTCAGAAGTACTTAGATGTTTTCAATCTGTTTCTAAGCTCAATTAGGGAACACAAACAGTCTCTCAAACTAACAATTTACCCAGATTCGTGCTTGGTACCTCTTGCCAAAAGAACAATTCGGAAACGAACAACAACCACTCAACAATACGATCGGTAATGACACAAATTCAAACAGATTTCGAAATGATCAAAGTGAATGAAAGGAACAATACAACCGTGGGGGAAGGCTGTGATTCAGGACGCCGAAGAGCCTTTCCAAGTCATGATCTTAATTGATCTCCTGCAAGACACGAAACAGATTCTTAAATTTGATTGCAATGAGATGTAATCGTCGGATGTTCTTCAGTCCGATTACGAGCATTGTTTCGAGGTGATAAAATTTAGATTTCAAGCACAGCCACCTATGGTTGGATTCGTCTTTGAAAGAGGAAGAGTTTGATATATGGCTCGACAAATAAATCAAAGTTTAGCACAATCAAAACAGTCAAATACTGATGATATGTCAAACTGAACGAAACTAGAAGTTAGGAACGAAATTAAAACCGAAGCGAGAAGCAAGGAGCGATCTCACCGGGGAATTTCGGCCGTAGGATCGAGCAGCTCTGATACCAAAATGATACACGTCCAACAGCGGAGAGGATGGAAATCTGATCCGAAAAACGCAATCACCCGCACTCGATGAAGGAGGCTCTCGAACTCACGTTTTCGGTAATGGAAATCGAAGGGGAAAGAAGATGGAACTTTGGCTCAATAACCGGCCAATCTAGGGAGCTCGAACTCAAGCCAAAGTCGAGGAAAACGTATGGAAAACGATGGATAGGGTCTCGGACAAACCAAGACAAGCCTCGGACAAACCAAGACGGGATCTCTCAGACAAACCGAAAAGAATATCGGACACACCAACAAGAGAGTGAGGCAAGCTCGAAATTACTTAATTCATCTTCAAAAATCTCATTACAAAATAGTTCTAGGTGGTTTATATAGGAAAACAACAATAAATGCAAGTCTTCATGCAAGAGAAGGAGCCTAATTGTCATTTAATAAGGTGGTTAGGAAGAAAAGAGCTGTTGGAATTTAATGGACTAATGGGCTAGGCCTTGATTTGTTCTTGGGCTGAAATGGACAACTCATGGGCTGGCTTGACGTCATCTTTGAGTCCAATAGCTTTCGGCCATGATGGAGGAGACGTTCCGGGTTAGTCTTGGTCGAAAAGGGAGGTTCCGTCGTGATCCCGAACTCCGTGAAGGACTTGAGTGATGGCCTTTGTTAACGTGATGCGGAGGGCTTGAGCTCTAACACGAGTGAGAGGAGGCTCGGCTCTATGGCTTGCTCGGAGAGCCTTCGCGTTGTGCACGTCAAATCCCGTTCCCGCGGGTTCGAATGATCTTGTGACGTTATGATCATCCGGCAAGAGTCTTGACGCATGATGGGTCAAGTCTTGAACATCTTCTATAGCTCCTTCCGTTAAGCTCCCGTCCTCGTCCAAGTTGCTAGCTCCAATGTCCTCATCAGGGAAGGATACGATGGTATCCGCTGAAGAAAGATGATTCTCAACCTATCAAGAAGAAACAAAAGCTACGATGCATAAAGGTGAATTAGTAGTACCTTAAAAGGATAGATCTGGCCGAAAGAGCGATAAAGTGACGATAGTTGTTAGATATATATACAGTGAAGGAGATATGGAATGAATACGGGGGAATAGGTTACAAATGACAAACCAACAGAACGAAATATGGAGAAAATCTACTGAAGAGTGAACAAGAAGAACACTCAGAATCATAATTCCACCCGATTGCAGTTATATTCGTGTACCGTTCCTACACTTAACCTGCCATGCATGAATTTAACCTGTCGTGCAGATTATGATGCAATCTATACGAGCATTAGTATGAAATAAGCTTCTGAAAGGTGATTTGCTACCTTAACTGTTTAGATCTGGTCGAAAGAGCAGAAAGGCGATGATAGAGAAATGAATTTAGCGACAATACAGGGATGAATACGAGATGGGCTGGAAAATGTTGCAAATGATGCCCCCAAAAGAATGAAACTGGACAACGAAAAAAGGATACACTATCGAAAGATAACAATGTCCGAAACCCTGAGAGTGAAAAGTAGGTCGAAAAGATAACGATGTCCGAAACCCTAAAAAGTAGTCTTGAACCAAAAAAAAAAAAATTCCGCCAAATGCAGGTCCTGCGAAATATTTCCCAAGACCTGACGGACGTGCCCTTTTTAACAAGAGTGACCTGCATACCAAATATTGTTGCGATTTATCTACAACCCATTAAGTGGGATTACAACACTATTTAAAGTGAACTGCACGCCTCGTAAGTGATCTACTAAACGCAGGTCGAATTTAGAAAAAAAACAAAGGCAACTTCTACAAAATAAATACGAATAGTAGACTACCAATGCAAGTCCTGCAAAACACGAAGTTATCCAAGTAAAAAAAAGGACCTGCATGTCCTGCGATAAGTGCCCTTTAACTAAAGTGAACTGCATCCAAAATCATGTCGCAAATTATCACGACATATCACAACATATCGCAAATCCTGACAGGACCTGCAGGTAACCCGAAAGTTCGTGTATATCACCGAGGGAATCGTTACTTACCTCGTTCTCGATGAGACTTGAAGTTTGTTTCGATCCGGGGCCTATTCTAAATCACCAAGAGCTGAAAGTACAGCTCCTCTACACGTATCCACACCGACGGGAAGGATTCCAAACGATTTGGAACGAATCTGCTAGGATTAGTGAAGAAAAGGGTAACTCAAGAGACGAGATCCAATCCCGGGACAATAGAAATCCAAGAGAACAGCTTCTCTAGGGTTCTAGGGTGTTTCTCTGAGTTTTAGGTCGGCTCTGTTTAAGTTTGGACGAAACCCTAAACTTAAATAAGATTAGAAAACCCAAAAATTCGAATTATGGAAATTTTCAGATCCCGGTCCGCCGGACCAGGGGCGGACCAAGCTCAGTCCGAAGCACGCGGACCGGCTGACCTGAAGGCTTGATCCGGCTGACCAAGTGTGGTCAGGATGCGATAAACCTGAAGGCTTCTTCACTAATCCTAGCAGATTCGTTCCAAATCGTTTGGAATCCTTCCCGTCAGTGTGGATACGTGTAGAGGAGCTGTACTTTCAGCTCTTGGTGATTTAGAATAGGCCCCGGATCGAAACAAACTTCAAGTCTCATCGAGAACGAGGTAAGTAACGATTCCCTCGGTGATATACACGAACTTTCGGGTTCTGCGAGTTTGGTTGCGTGTGACGTTTGACTAGGTTTAGATTTTTCTTCCGCTGCATGAAACCTAGTAAACCAAACCCTAGATCGATATGATCGCATGCTGGGAACCCGTAGATTCCCCAACAGCACCCTGGATTGATCTACTTGTGGTATGGCTCGCTACCAATTGCAAAATAACGAATACCATTGTAGACAGCCATTAAGCTTGCAAAAGGGTCAAGGCCTTTCTTTGGCTCTCCGTCTTTCCAGTACGTTTTCGGCATGAGTAGTATTTATAAATAAATTGATCTCAAGGCGCACGTCCGGCTTGTCCCGGGGGAAAGAAAGGCCTTGCTTGGCAACCTGCATATATTGCAGGTTCTGCATCTGAAGGGGCACGACGCTTCGTTATTTGCATTTACGGGTACTTGTGAAAAACAAAACATACGTTTTTACATTAGTGATGAATTAATGATAATATTTTAATCTTCATTAAACAAGTAACGAAGCGACGTGTCCCTTCAGATGTAGGACCTAATTAATAATATATATATTTATTTATTTAATGTTCAACCGTTAACAACCTACTCCTTCAGACGTGTAAAGGTTTTCTCAAAAGATTTGCTCCGGGTATCGAAAGATAACAATGCCCGAAACCATAAAAAGTAGGTCGAAGAGATAACAATGGCCGAAACCCTAAAAAGTAGTCTTGACCGAAGCAACCCCCTGCCAAATGCAGGTCCTGCGAAATATTTCCCAAGACCTGTGGGACGTGTCTTTTTAACAAAAGTGACCTGCATAACCTGCGGGAGTGCTTATCCAACGGTTTTGAAAATAACCTGCCGCAGGAAAATTTTGAACATTTTAAGGGTCAGCAATCAGATCACAGGGGCCCACTGCGACCCTCCGACCACTGCGACTGGTCGTATTACTCGATCACCTATTTGGTTCGCATGTCCTCATCTGAAATAAAAGATGACCTTCACGATGGAACTCTTTTCACGACACGACCTGCATTTCCGTAGACTTTCCACGACGTAACTCCTATTTCTTGATTTGCAGGACTGTATAGGTTACATGCAGGTCATATTCGAGGTCTAGAATATAACCTGCATATCCCTGCATTATGATCAGACTTGAAAAGAAGTTGGAAACCCCTAATTTTAATGTTACTGATAGTAAAACTCGTCTGTTTTTCTAATGTAATTAAGTATTATTTTTTTTATTAACTACTTCACACTCTGTTCAGCACCTGCACAACATATCGCATTACTTGCAGGTGTTGTCGGGATTTGCGATATGTTGTGATATGTCGTGATAATTTGCGACATGATTTTGGATGCAGTTCACTTTAGTTAAAGGGCACTTATCGCAGGACATGCAGGTCCTTTTTTTTTACTTGGATAACTTCGTGTTTTGCAGGACTTGCATTGGTAGTCTACTATTCGTATTTATTTTGTAGAAGTTGCCTTTGTTTTTTCTAAATTCGACCAGCATTTAGTAGATCACTTACGAGGCGTGCAGTTCACTTTAAATAGTGTTGCAATCCCACTTAATGGGTTGCAGATAAATCGCCACAATATTTGGTATGCAGGTCACTCTTGTTAAAAAGGGCACGTCCGTCAGGTCTTGGGAAATATTTCGCAGGACCTGGATTTGGCGGGATTTTTTTTTTGGTCCAAGACTACTTTTTAGGGTTTCGGACATCGTTATCTTTTCGACCTACTTTTCACTCACAGGGTTTCGGACATTGTTATCTTTCGATAGTGTATCCTTTTTCGTTGTCCATTTTCGTTCTTTTGGGGGCATCATTTGCAACATTTTCCAGCCCATCTCGTATTCATCCCTGTATTGTCGCTAAATTCATTTCTCTATCATCGCCTTTCTACTCTTTCGACCAGATCTAAACAGTTAAGGTAGCAAATCACCTTTCAGAAGCTTATTTCATACTAATGCTCGTATAGATTTCATCATAATCTGCACGGCAGGTTAAATTCATGCATGGCAGGTTAAGTGTAGGAACGGTACACGAATATAACTGCAATCGGGTGGAATTATGATTCTGAGTGTTCTTCTTGTTCACTCTTCAGTAGATTTTCTCCATATTTCGTTATGTTGGTTCGTCATTTGTAACCTATTCCCCCGTATTCATTCCATATCTCCCCCACTGTATATATCTAACAACTATCGTCACCTTATCGCTCTTTCGGCCAGATCTATCCTTTTAAGGTACTACTAATTCACCTTTCTGCATCGTAGCTTTTGTTTCTTCTTGATAGGTTGAGAATCATCTTTCTTCAGCGGATACCATCGTATCCTTCTCCGCAGGTTATATTCCTTCTTACACTTCTGCACGGCAGGTGCACAATGTTGTACTTTTATTTCCCGCGTTTATATCCCGCCTTGTTGTATAATTGGGGGTTGTTTTGTCATTTTGTTGCCCTACGAAGGGATAGTATGGTCGATTTACATTTCTAAAACCCTACCCTCCCATTTCTATTTCTATTGTCTGAGCTTTACCATTGTTCCTTTTCTACTGTTTCACCATTTCCATTACCGTTGTTTCTCCATCTACTCCGGTGAAGGTTAGTTATTTTTTCTATTGTTTAACCTCTACAAGTTGATTGTCCATAACGAGTTTGAGGATGATTAGATTACCTTAAAAAACGGCATGGCGTTGGGGTGCCAATGAAACGACCTGCAAGTCAACGAGGATTTAATGGTTGCATACATATTAGAGAAAAAAACTAATTGCTGTGGAGATTTCACCTATTCAATCATGAAATTCTTTCTCTAATTCAAAGAACATCTGGCTATATCGACCTGCCGATATAGAAGATGTCATGCGGACCTGTTTTGTGCGTTTGAACATTCTGTTAATCATGATAATTGACCCTTTTGCAAGCTTAATGGCTTTCCACAATGGTATTCGTTATTTTGCATTGGTAGCGAGCCATACCACAAGCAGATCAATCCAGGGTGCGAGTTCAAGAAGATCATGCGCTCCTTGTACCTTCATCTTTCAGCCGAAGCCATAGAAGAGATGAGAATGTCCCCTTTTGGGTTTGCGTTCAGGATGTTTGATAATAATTATGTGTTTTCTACACACCTCATCCACAGTATGCTTTCCCGCCGGCTTAAGACAGAGAAAAATCACAAAATGTGGTTTGCCTTCGGCGGTAAGCCTCTCCGATTCTCCGTACAATAATTTTCTACAGTTACTGGATTGCCGTGCCATCTGCCGACCGACTCCGTTCCAGAAGGTTACGGTACTGGTTTGTTTTCTGAGATAGTAACCGGTGGTAAAACTAAGATTTCGTACGGGAACCTGGTTGATAATGTCCTGCCGTTTTGCAATAGATACCCCACAGCGGACTGTAAACGGCTGATATATTTGATCATCATCGGAGGCATTTTAAGGCCAATGGAGAGAAGAGCAGTTATACCGGATGAGTTCGTCAGGATTGCTTCAGACCTGGTGGTTTGTGAACGTTACCCATGGGGCCGAGTTACCTTCGATTTTTTGATAGAATCTGTAAATAACGCGATGCATAAGCTGCGCCAAGAAAGCTACAGCTGCAGCGGATTTCTTCCTGCGCTTCAATATTGGGCGATGTCCACCATCCCGACGCTTGGGACTGCAGTTGCCAAGCCGATGGCGTGCGAGGGTCCGCTGTATTTGAGTTGGACGAATTGCAGATCGACAAGTATGAAGAAGGTGCAGGAAGTGGAATATGAGATCGTCAAGGTGATTAATTTATAAATAATTATCTATTTATGTTTCCATATTAACTTTAACTACCTGCAGTCTATTTTCGGTAACTAATATGAACATAAATTCTATGCTTTCAGTTTGATTGCCGGGTCAATTGGTGCCTTCCATTAAGAAGTGGACAAGTCGTCAACAAGTACTGTGATGAAGTCGACGATCCTACCGCCGAGAATATTTTGAGGCTTATCGATCAAGGTTATAGGTTTTGTAACGAGGATTGGGGTGTTTCTACGCAACTGGATTCACCGCCTGTTCTTGCGCGACCTATAAGCATAGTAATACCACAGAACAGGAATAAGTTGAGGAATCAGGCACGGTTGGAGGAGGCGAACGAAGAGGAGGACGAGAAGAAGAACAAAGAGGAGGAGACGAAGAGAAAAGAAAAGGAGGACCAGGGGACTATCGTGTCCTTGCTTCAGAAATTGTTGCTTGGCATCCAATCAATCGACAATAGGCTTAAGTCTGTCGAACGTCATATCAGGATTCAAACACCACATAATAATCCCGATTTTTCTGACACACGTCCATGGAAAAAGCGACAACCCTATAGTTCTTCAAATATAAACATTCAGGTCGCATTTGACCCAGACGTGCAGGACCTTCAGGTTGCGCATGACCTGCAGGTGGATGAAGAGAAAGATGAGCTGTTGGAGTTCCTGGGATCTCATGAGCGAATCCTATTCCTAAGAGATCGATTCTAGGGTTTGCGCAGCGGATGTAAAACAAAAATTATAGAACCCTAGAACCATGCTGCTATTGAAATCGTAGAAACGTTAAGAACGCTTACCTCAATCGATCCGGGGCCTGTCTCTATCGATGAATCGTTCTGATCACGAAAGGCAGGAAGATTACCTCGCCCTCTACACGTATCCACACCTCGGGATGGATTCCAATGATTGGAACTTGTCTGCTAGGACTCGAATCACTATTCGATATGTGCACTTTGAGAAAACGAGACTTAGAACTTGTTGAGTCTTTTGGATCTCACCAAAAACTCACACTTTTCTACAAAAGTCGGCTGCTGAAAGTCTCTACTTAGTTAGGGTTCTAATCACTTTCTTATAAAGTGATTTAACCCTAATTTCGGTTTAATTTTCGGAAAAACCGGAACCCGGAACGGACGGTCCAGAATTGCACGTGGACCGTCCGTTCCATCACGTAGAACGGACGGTCTACGTCTACGTTTAGTGCGGACCGTCCGTTCTATCCTCATAGAACGGACGGTCTGCGTGTTGTCGTGGACCGTCCGGTCTGGTTCGGGCGGACCGTCCGTTCTGGACTTTCTGGTCCGTCCGTTCCAGCCCCTTCCGTCTCTGCTTTTCGTCGTTTTCCCTCGTGCATTTGTCCTTCCCTGCGTGTGTGACCCTGTAGGCTCATTCGACATAGCAGTATAACCCGAAATCCCTATTTTGGATATATAAGTCATAGGCGGTCTCTAGCAAGACACTATGACTACCTATCTCGAATAGAGTTGGTTCGTGATCTTACGAACACCAGTGATGATTCCGGCTGATGATCCTTTTGTATCGCGATATCATATGTCGAACATAAGGCATGGACAAGCCACCTTATCTGATTCGACTGCTTTCTCGTTCACTGAGTTTGACTGTCTGAAATAGACGACGTTCGTCTATAGTGCGGCCACACATTTCTACAGTCTCGCTCACACGAGGGGCCCAGCGATATCTCTCTCTTTTATGAGAGGTACAAATCCCGTCTTGACTATCTACAATCCAGTACATGATTCGTTTCGTACCTGATATACGCCTTTATAGTCCTCCTGTTACGCAGGACGTTTGACGTAATCAAAGCACGCAACTCCTCATGTTGGATTCCGTAGATATCTCAGGTCTTAGGATCCAATCATGGAACCGTCATATGAGATTCAAGTCATGACGCTAGTCCATGTGACAATCTCATGTGGGTCAATCCAGTATTCCGTTCTCCAACGAATACCTATGATTGTGATCGTATCCAATACTTATGATCATCTATGTGATCATCAATCACACATCATACTAGTCTTATTATCTCGTTATTCCCATAACGACACAAGACTAGGGAGTTTAGTATCATTCCTAATGATACATGGATTTCATAACAGATCTAGCATGCAAGAACATGTAATGAATAAAATACTCTCATAAAATCACATAGAAAGTATCAATACATCGAATGTATCTGAACAAAGCTCATAATCAGTACATCATAGAGCACTAAACCAACCAGATCCTCATAGAAAAGGCTGATGAGGATGAGTAGAAGATGAAGGAGAAGACAGAGGAAGAGGCTGATGAGGAGAAGAAAAAAGCGCAGGAGGATGAGAAGGAGAAGACTGATGAAGATGATACCAAGCAGTTTTTGATATTAGAGAATTAGAGAGAGTTTTTGGAAATATTTCTTCTGTGTATTCATCAAAATAAAGACATGATGCCTTAAATACAAAAGTGAAAGGAAACACCAAACCCTAACCAACTAAACCAAAACAAACCAAACTAAATTAAATCAAACTAGATATTCATTCTAATACGCCCATGCAAGATGAAAGTGATTAAACTGCAAAATCACTTTCATCTTGGACAAATGAAAACCAACATCATAAACCACCCACATCAAAAAATTTAATGGGTTATATTTTTTTTAGGTGTATTCGAGAAATGAGTGCGACAATTTTGGTATATTTGAGTGCGCTCAGTTTAACTAATATCTAGCATGACCACTAATCTATGTTTTAGTGCATCCGACTGTCGACAATATCATCGTGACTCGATTTCTATACAAAAAAACTGTTTCTCACCAATCCGAAAATCCTATTTCGATATTTCGGTGACAATTTGTCACTGAAACCCTAGTTTTTCAAATTTTTATTTCAAACCCTGTTCTTTAACGAAAACTTAATAGAAAATCTAAAACCGGATCTCAATCTGTACCTGAAACCCTAAAAATTTGATTTTCGCGGAGTTCAAAAACCATACCTGGAGGTTTTCGCAAGTAGGGTCCGAAGAGGGGGCCGAAGATGATGAAGACGAAGCCATTCTTCGTTTACTTTACTTGCAAACACGAACTCGCACAGAAAAATCGTACAGTCAAGAGAAAATGAAGAAGAAACGACACTATGAAGAAATAAAACTCTGTCGAAAAGGGGCAAAAAATAAACTGTTTGATTTTTCAATTTTTTTTAATTTAGTAACTTCCCAACTTTTGGTCTTTCTCTTTCAGATGTTGACACGTGTATTTTTTAAAAGGGGTAACGATGTCTTTTCATTCTTTTTCAGTTTTTTTTAAAACCCTAGATTTTGAAGGGTATGGTTGTAAGTGAAATGGACATTTAAAGGTATTTTCTGTAATATCCCCTGTTAACGGTTGTCGATCGTCAAGTAGGATGAGTCGTCAATACGACCCAATCAAACATAATACTACCAAGATTTAATTACGACGGCCAATTGCAAAATAACGAATAGCTTTGTGGACAGCCATTAAGCCTGCAAAAGGGTCAATTATCATGATTAACAGAATGTTCAAACGCACACAACATGATAAATTTGGAGAGATGTTCATTGAATTAGAGAAAGAATTTCATGATTGAATAGGTGAAATCTCCACAGCAATTAGTTTTTTTCTCTAATATGCATGCATCCATTAAATCCTCATTGACTTGCAGGTCGTTTCATTGGCACCCCAACGCCATGCCGTTTTTTAAGGTAATCTAATCATCCTCAAACTCGTTATGGACAATCAACTTGTAGAGGTTAAACAATAGAAAAAATAAATAACCTTCACCGGAGTAGATGGAGAAACAACGGTAATGGAAATGGTGAAACAGTAGAAAAGAAACAATGGTAAAGCTCAGACAATAGAAATAGAAATGGGACGGTAGGGTTTTAGAAATGTAAATCGACCATACTATTCCTTCGTAGGGCGACAAAATGACAAAACAACCCCCAATTGTTTTCTTCAGCGAAAACCTGCAATAAAACGATTCGCATTTCTTGACGGAAACTTGCAGGTCTTTGTCTCTACACCTGCATCTGTTTTGGTTCGCATGTCCTCATCGAAATAAAAGAGTTACTCGTAGCAGGTCATCTTTTTATGTCACGAAAAGCCTTTTAGAAGGGAAATAAAAGATGACCTTAACGACGTAACTCTTTTCACGACACGACCTGCATTTTCGTAGGTTGTGCCCCTTCGGATGCTGGACCTGCAATATGCAGGTTGCCAATCAACCCAAAATATATCGTCGTGTGGTCGGTAGAAGGTGTTGCTTCCACCACCGAAGTTACTTCGTCTTTGTTCGTGTGCGTCCTTCGACGCCCTCTTGTGCTTTGCCCGGAAGAGGTACCATTAGACCGACTTTTTTCAATTTCGCGTACCCTTTTTGTTTCCTCTATTATACTCGCCCCAGGTTGTTAGGCAGGTTCTCTGACCTCGCCGCATGTTGCACTTGCCTAGTGCACGTTATCGGTCTCGTTCGTAGAATATAATTCCATCTGTATGAACAAAAACACGAATCGTTTTATTGCAGGTCCTTTTTCACGACACGACCTGCAATAAAACGATTCGCATTTCTTGACGAAAACCTGCAGATCTTTGTCTCTACATCTGCGTCTGTTTTGGTTCGCATGTCCTCATCGAAATAAAAGAGTTACTCGTAGCAGGTCATCTTTTTATGTCACGAAAAGCCTTTTGGAAGGGAAATAAAAGATGACCTTCACGACGTAACTCTTTTCACGACACGACCTGCATTTTCGTAGACTTTTCACAAGAACTGCAGGTCTCTATTAATAGTGTGAAACCTTTTTCTTGGTTTGTAGTTCTCTATGGGTTACATGCAGGTCTTCAGGTCATATTCGAGGTCTAGAATATAACCTGCAAACCTGCATATCACCTGCAATTCTAACATTATCACAGTAGATTGTAGGAGCCGACGGTAGAGAGATTCCGAATTCGGAGAGTAAGGTGACTATCCATCGAAGCTCTTATATCATGAAAGTGTAAACGTTCGAATGAATATTATTCAACAGATTGTACACATATATGTACTCGTACAGGTATGCTTTGAAGTTTGCATAACATGGTATTTACAAATATCATAAATATGAAGAAGATATTCCCTAGAGGAAGAATGTTGTTCCCATGACGTGGAAGTTACCACCATCATAAATATGGTCTAACAGATGATACAATATACTATCATTCGTTGGTTTTGTCCGTTATAAAATCAATAATTGTACTTGCCATTCCTAACCTTACAGACTGGATATTTTTCTTCATAAGTTGACCTCGGTTGAAATCAGTCCGGAAGGCATGGCATTCGATATATTTGAGAGCGTATATACCGCAATCATTTCCGTCGGTTTGCTGCGGAGTGTCGTCCCTCAAAATTATCTTATATGGACTCCTGTCTTTGAAAGAAGGGGAACTTGAAAAAAGATGAAACATCAAAGGAATCATTTCCGCAAACGGCTTCACGTGGAGCCATCTGTTCTTACGCTGATCTGGGTGTTTTGGATATAATGAATCCAGAACCTCAATCCGTCGTTTTTTCGGCTCCACAACCAGTGCGACCCAATGGTTGCCTTTTACCAACAGGATGTCGTAAAGTGTATCCACTTCAGTCAATGGCCGACCTGACCCATATGCAATTAGGTGTATGCCGTTGAAGTAGGGAATCAGTTGTTGGTCAATAAGCTCCGAATTGACGTAATCAGCATACGCCGAACAGATAAGAAGGTTAAAAAGGTTGTCCATAAAGGCAATTCTACTGTTAGGGAAGAGCTCAGGTTGGCTCTTCAACATCTTCCTATACATTGCCAAGAAGCAGTCCATATGCTGGAGTGGATAAAGAAACATGTCAACACGAATGATACAATGTAAAACACTACGTCAACAAGAATTTAAATTTAAAATACTTACATCAGTCGACAACTGAGACTCCTTCGTCATGATATCTTCAATAAAATCGGGGAATCTGATATTAAAAGTAGTGAAGCTGAAATCCTGATTGCTGAAAAGGAGAAAAATCATTTTTTAGTATATGAATTTAACAAGCAAACTGCACGACCCTGCAGGTCATGCACGTCGTCACGCACGACCTGTTTGTTTAAAACCATGACCTACAGGATATAGATCATGATTTAATATTAATTTTAAATAAGGTCGTGAATAACGTACCGTGTTTTACACCTGTGAAGGTTTTTGAGGTCTTCATCGCTTGCCTTTCGAAATGGATCATGATTAATCATCTTTGGTGGCAAAATTTTTCCAACGGTTGGGCTGATATAATATGGACTTCCGATCTTCTTGTTAAGCACCCGTCGTCGCTTGTGTCCCGCCAACTGATTCTCCTCATTCACTTCTTCCTCCATCTTCACCTCATCATTCTGCAGGTGTGCATCCTCCTCATCCGCATAATTGTCCCGGTCACACATCATCTGCACCACCATCTGCTTGCTATCATCTTCAAATGTTTTCTTCTCCTCCTCATCAAACTCTTCCTTCTTCTGCTCTTCAACCTCCATATGTTTCTTCTTTTCATTCAGAACCTCCTCTTTCTCTTCATCCACCTGCATGTCAAGAACGACCTGCAGGAACTGCTGGGTATCATCTTCATCAACCTTCTCATTCTCATCCTTCGGCGCATTTTTCTTCTCCTCATTAGCCTCTTCCTCTGTCTTCTCCTCTGCATCAACCTCTTCCTTCTTCTGCTCTTCGGCCTCCATATGTTTCTGCTTCTCGTTCAGGACATCATATTTCTCTTCATCCACCTTCATGTCATGCCAGACCTGCAGGAACTGCTTGCTAAAATCATCATCAACCTTCCCCTTCTCATCCTCCTGCGCTTTTTTATTCTCCTCGTCAGCCTCTTCCTCTGTCTTCTCCTCCTCCTTAACATCCTCTTCTTTCTTCTGCTCTTCACCCTCCATATGTTTCTGCATTTCATTCAGGACCTCCTCCTCTTTCTCTTCATCTACCTGCAGGTCATGCCCGACCTGCAAGAACTGCTTGCTAAAATCTTCATCAGCCTTCTCCTTCTCATCCTCCTGCGCTTTTTCCTTCTCCTCATCAGCCTCTACCTCCGTCTTCTCCTCTGCATCAACCTCTTCCTTCTTCTGCTCTTCGGCCTCCATATATTTCTGCTTCTCATTCAGGACCTCATATTTCTCTTCATCCACCTGCATGTCATGCCAGACCTGCAGGAACTGCTTGGTATCATCTTCATCAGCCTTCTCCTTCTCATCCTCCTGCGCTTTTTTATTCTCCTCGTCAGCCTCTTCCTCTGTCTTCTCCTCCTCCTTAACATCCTCTTCTTTCTTCTGCTCTTCACCCTCCATATGTTTCTGCTTTTCATTCAGGACCTCCTCCTCTTTCTCTTCATCTACCTGCAGGTCATGCCCAACCTGCAAGAACTGCTTGCTAAAATCTTCATCAGCCTTCTCCTTCTCATCCTCCTGCGCTTTTTTCTTCTCCTCATCAGCCTCTTCCTCCGTCTTCTCCTCTGCATCAACCTCTTCCTTCTTCTGCTCTTCGGCCTCCATATATTTCTGCTTCTCATTCAGGACCTCATATTTCTCTTCATCCACCTGCATGTCATGCCAGACCTGCAGGAACTGCTTGGTATCATCTTCATCAGCCTTCTCCTTCTCATCCTCCTGCGCTTTTTTATTCTCCTCATCAGCCTCTTCCTCTGTCTTCTCCTCCTCCTCAACATCCTCTTCTTTCTTCTGCTCTTCACCCTCCATATGTTTCTGCTTTTCATTCAGGACCTCCTCCTCTTTCTCTTCATCTACCTACAAGTCATGCCCGACCTGCAGGAACTGCTTGGTATCATCTTCATCATCCTTCTCCTTCTCATCCTCCTGCGCTTCTTTCTTCTCCTCATCAGCCTCTTCCTCTGTCTTCTCCTTCGTCTTCTTCTCATCCTCATCAGCCTTTTCTATAATGATCTCCTCATCTTTCTCTTCATCCACCTGCAGGTCATGCGCAACTTGAAGGTCCTGCACGTCTGGGTCAAATGCAACCTGCATGTTTATATTTGAAGAACTATAAGCTTGTCGCTTTTTCCTTGGACGTGTGTCATAAAAATCGGGATTATTATAAGGTGTTTGAATCCTGATATGACGTTCGACAGACTTAAGCCTATTGTCGATTGATTGGACGACAAGCAACAATTTCTGAAGCAAGGACACGGTAGTCCCCTGGTCCTCCTTTTCTCTGTTCTTCTCCTCTTTTCTCTTCTTCTTTTTCTCTTTGTTCTTCTTCTTGTCCTCCTCTTCGTTCGCCTCCTCCAACCGTGCCTGATTCCTCAACTTATTCCTGTTCTGTGGTATTACTATGCTTACAGGTCGCGCAAGAACAGGCGGCGAATCTAGTTGCGTAGAAACACCCCAATCCTCGTTACAAAACCTATAACCTTGATCGATAAGCCTCAAAATATTCTCGACGGTAGGATCGTCGACTTCATCACAGTACTTGTTGACGACTTGTCCACTTCTTAATGGAAGGCTCCAATTGACCCGGCAATCAAACTGAAAGCATAGAATTTATGTTCATATTAGTTACCGAAAATAGACTGCAGGTAGTTAAAGTTAATATGGAAACATAAATAGATAATTATTTATAAATTAATCACCTTGACGATCTCATATTCCACTTCCTGCACCTTCTTCATACTTGTCGATCTGCAATTCGTCCAACTCAAATACAGCGGACCCTCGCACGCCATCGGCTTGGCAACTGCAGTCCCAAGCATCGGGATGGCGGAAATCGCCCAATATTGAAGCGCAGGAAGAAATCCGCTGCAGCTGTAGCTTTCTTGGCGCAGCTTATGCATCGCGTTATTTACAGATTCTATCAAAAAATCGAAGGCAACTCGGCCCCATGGGTAACGTTCACAAACCACCAGGTCTGAAGCAGTCCTGACGAACTCATCCGGTATAACTGCTCTTCTCTCCATTGGCCTTAAAATGCCTCCGATGATGATCAAATATATCAGCCGTTTACAGTCCGCTGTGGGGTATCTATTGCAAAACGGCAGGAAATTATCAACCAGGTTCCCGTACGAAATCTTAGTTTTACCACCGGTTACTATCTCAGAAAACAAACCAGTAGCGTAACCTTCTGGAACGGAGTCGGTCAGCAGATGGCACGGCAATCCAGTAACTGCAGAAAATTCTTCTACGGAGAATCGGAGAGGCTTACCGCCGAAGGCAAACCACATTTCGTGCTTTTTCTCTGTCTTAAGCCGGCGGGAAAGCATACTGTGGATGAGGTGTGTAGAAAACACATAATTATTATCAAACATCCTGAACGCAAACCCAAAAGGAGACATTCTCATCTCTTCTATGGCTTCGACTGAAAGATGAAGGTACAAGGAGCGCATGATCTTCTTGAACTCGCACCCTGGATTGATCTGCTTGTGGTATGGCTCGCTACCAATGCAAAATAACGAATACCATTGTGGAAAGCCATTAAGCTTGCAAAAGGGTCAATTATCATGATTAACAGAATGTTCAAACGCACAAAACAGGTCCGCAGGACATCTTCTATATCGGCAGGTCGATAATGGTGAAACAGTATAAAATAAACAAACAGTGGTAAAGGTTCGTAGGGCATCTTTTATATCGACAGATCGATTTCAAGAACTGTCGATCTGAAAGACCTGCCGAACAACCATGTCATCTACAAGACCTGCCGACCAGCAGAAAGGCAGCTCTGGCAGATGACCTGATGGTTTTCAGGTCTTGAAGACAACATGCTTGGACTGTTTTCATGGATTTGTTGCCGGAAATAGGTCGCGGATATCATAAGCAAGACTTGCATGGTATCGATTACGACGACCTGTAATCTTCAGGTCGTTTCATTACACATTAGCAGGACCGGTAATAATTTGATCTGCAGGACATGCAAGTCATGACTTGCATTTTCCTTGACTTGCAGGTCGATTCATTGCTCCTCAACGACATGGAAGTTTTTTAAGGCCATCGTCCTCAAAATCATTATGGACAAACTAACCTTTAGCGGAGTAGACAGAGAAACAGCGGTAATGGAAATGGTGAAACAGTAGAAAATATATAGCTGTAAATGTCAAGCAGTAGAAAAACAAAAACATGTAAATTTTTTGCGATATATAAAGATTAGGGTTTTAAGAATGTAAAAAGACAAACTTATCCCTTACTAATGCAACAAAATGACAAAAACAACCCCCAATTAAACAGCAAGGCAGGAGATAAAACGCGGGAAATGATAGTACAACACTATGAACAACTCAAAACTCCTTAAAAGCCTGCCGCAGGTCTTTCTTCACATCATGCCGCATGCGGTAGGTTCTTCGCAACCTGCGGAAACATCAAAACACCTGCTTAAACTTTTATTTTTGGTCAGAAATCAGAATGCATCGTGGACGTCAAATGAAATGCAGGTCTTGATGAGTCTAAACAGGTCCTTGAAACAGCCGACAGCGAAATGAGATCATAAGATTCATAACGTTCAGTAGGCAAATATAACATGCGGAAAGAACAAAGTACCTGCTTAATAACCAACGCGTCTGTGTGTTAGACAAAACGATGTTCTTCGAACAAAAATGAAGTAACTTCGATGGTGATAGCATCACCTTCTACAAACCATAGAAATATGATCACGAAATTTCACACATCAGGTAAAGTACAAATACAAATGCAGGTTTTATTGCAGGTAAAAGTTAAAACAAGAAAGGTGCAGGCCAATGCAGGTGCAACGGTGAAACACACGATGCAGGTCGTGTGCCTTTAGGAGGAAGTGAAGGAGGACCTGCGGTGAAAGGAAATTAGAACACAGGAAAATACGACCTGCGGAAACATCAAAACACTTGCTTAGACTTGATGAGTATGCAGGTCCTGCTAAACAGCCGACAGTGCAATAGTCAAATCTAACATGCGGAAAAATCAATGTGGCTGCTTAATGACCTGCACGTCATAGTATTAGACAAAACAAACAAGGTATGTGAAAAAAAAAGTCGGTCTTTTGATATCGCTCTCGGGTAAAGCACAACAAAGCGTTGAAGGAAGCAAGCGAAGTTCTTCGAACAAAAATGAAGTAATTTTGGTGGTAGTAAGTAGCAACACCTTCTACGAACGTAGAGTTGTGATATTTCACATCAGCCAAAGTACAATACAAATTTTTTTATTGCAGGCCAATGCAGGTCCTGATGGTCCTCATTCACGGCCTGAGTCTGCAGGTGGACCAACATCTTTATCAGGACGTGCATAATAACGAATTTGCAGTCACCTTCCACTTCAGCCGGCTGCAAACTCAGGGGCATATTAAGGCAATGACAAAGAGTAAAATTTTTACAGTACCGCAAATGTGCCGATGAATTTGGTAACATCTTACGTTTATTTATATATAGATCACACTATGTACGCGGGTATTAAATGCACATTGTTGGCGGTTGTTGTTCCAATTTAATAGGATAGGTCACTTTAATAAATGGCGTTACCTGCATTCCTCGCAGGTCTAGAGACAAAGACTTGCAGGTTTCCGTCAAGAAACGCAAATCGTTTTATTGCAGACCCGCCGACTTATATCCAACAAAGTGAACAAACCATTTTATCGCACGAGTATAATGAAATGCGAATCGTTTTATTGCAGGTCCTTTTTCACGACACGACCTGCAATAATACGATTCGCATTTCTTGACGGAAACCTGCAGGTCTTTATCTCTACACCTGCGTCTGTTTTGGTTTGCATGTCCTCGTCGAAATAAAAGAGTTACTCATAGCAGGTCATCTTTTTATGTCACGAAAAGCCTTTTGGAAGGGAAATAAAAGATGACCTTTGTTGGGTTTCCTGGGATCTCATGAGCGAATCTAATTCCTAAGAGATCGATTCTAGGGTTTGTGCAGCGGAAGTAAAACAAAAATTTATAGAACCCTAGAACCATGCTGCTATTGAATTCGTAGAAACGTTAGAACGCTTACCTCAATCGATCCGGGGCCTGTATCAACTGAAGAAGTCGTTTGATCACGAAAGGCAGGAAGAATACCTCGCCCTCTACACGTATCCACACCTCGGGATGGATTCCAACGATTGGAACTTGTCTGCTAGGACCCGAATCTCTATTCGATATGTGCACCGAGAAATCTCGAGACTTAGAACTCGTTTTTGGATCTCCAAAAACCCTATCTTTTCTGCCAAAAGTCGGCTGCTCAAAGTCTCTCTCTAATTAGGGTTCTAATCACTTTCTTATAAAGTGATTTAACCCTAATTTCGGTTTAATTTTCGAAAAACCGGCACCTGGAACGGACGGTCCAGAATTGCATGTGGACCGTCCGTTCCAGTAAGGCAGAACGGACGGTCTACGTTGTGCGGACCGTCCGTTCTCTATCCT